ACAACGGACTGCAATTAAAACATTAGAGAACTAGATTCCTGCCTGCTAATTCTCTATTTGTAATTTGCTAAAATGTTTAATTAATTAATTTATACCATTTGCTGATTTGCTATGCAGGTCTGTTTTGGGGAAGTAGAAATCCATTTGAGTTTTGCTTAAAAATTAATGTTGTGCCTGCCAATTGTCCTAATAATATCATTATTACATATGAATTTTTGAACTTAATATAGCAAAATCGTCCAAAAATCGAAACTCAATTTTTTTCGTCCACATTTTCGGTCGCACGGATCAACCGATTTGAATGGTTCAAAAAACATTCTATTCCTATTGATAGGGAGATGTGCTGATTATTTCTTGCAAAGGCAGGTCCAGCCGTTACGGAGAAACAGAGCAAAGAATGCAGAAAATAAAAATCGAGTTTTTTGAGAAAACGGAGTATCTGATTTGAATGATCTAAAAAATATTCAATTTGTAATGATTGGGAGAAGTCATTTCGAAGATACAGAGTTAAATGTACAAAACATTACAATTTTTGTTTCAAAATATTTTTTTTTTCAAATTTTTTTTCAAGTTTTTTTTTGTATATCGAAAATAATTCAGATTTTAATTTCATTATGTCTAAAGTTCTGATGCTCACTTATGTACTTTAAATGAATAATTTTAACTTTGTAATTCAGTTTATATAATTTTCATAAATATGGACGAAAGTTTCAGCAATAAGTCTTGAAGCACGATGCCATACACCACTAGTTATAAATGAATTTTTTAACTTATATCGTCCAAAAATCGAAACTCATTTTTTTGCATATCTTTACGTTTCAGAGGTTTTTGAACATTTCGGCATATTTTAGAAAAAAATGTATGTGTATGTGTGTGTGTGTGTGTTTTATGTGGATACAGATTTTCATCCACGATTTCGAGGCGCACGGATCAACCGATTTGACTTATTCAAAAAACAGATAGATAGACGTTCTTATTAGTTTTTAGGAAAGAATGATTAAAAAAAACATTCAATTCGTATTAATGAGGAGACGTGTTGATTAGTTTTTTCCAAAGACAGGTCCAACCGTTTTGGAGATAGATTAAAAAGTAATAAGAATGACAGAAATAAGAGAACGAAGCATTCGTTGAGAATGATTAAAAAAACATTCAATTCATATTAATCAGGAGATAGTTTTCTCCAAAGACAGGTCCAACCGTTTTGGAGATAGATCAAAAAGTGCTAAAAATGGCATAAATAAGAGAACTAATCATTCGTTGAGAATGATTAAAAAAAACATTCGATTCGTATATGAGCTGATTAATTTTCTGTAAAGGCAGGTCCAAACGTTTTAGCGATACGGAGCAAAAGTGCAAAAATAGCTGTTATTGAAAGAATGTATTATCTTATTAGAATGATTCAAAAAACATTTTGCATTTTTTGACGGTGTGAAAAAATTATTATTTTTTGGGGAAGGCGGCAAGGCAAAATAAAATTATTTTAAAAATTGCAAAATGACTTAAATTCATGACAATATTTTATTATATTCATTAAAATCAAAAATATTTACTTTTTTATAGAAAAAATCAAAGATCTATTTCCTTTTACTTTGTGCAACAAGTCACTATAATTTCGAGTTAATTATCGATAATCATCGAATTTTAATAATTCTAGAAATACCCAAGTAAAATACGACTTCTTGCTATTATTTTAATTGCCAATAACGACATAAATCCTGAATAATTGATATTTTACCAGCAAACGTTCAGCAAATTTATAGGTAAGCAATTATTCCTGGTAAGACATTATTTATAAAAAAATATTTTTTAAGTATTTCTTTTTTTTTTTTTTTTTTTCTTTAATTTTTATTTTCAATAGCAATCAGAATACATGATCATAGAATAGTCATGTATTCTGATTGCTATTGAAAATAAAAATTAAAAAAAAAAAGTATTTCATATAATGACGACTAGATGTATTTCAAATGTCGGAGTAAATATTATTCTACATACTTTTAATATACCTCATTTAAATTTCAAAATTCCATTTTCCCGTGGCCCATTTTAAGCCTTTTTATTTTAAAGTCCATTAATGCATCTATATTATACTGCCCTCCCGTTGTTTGCGCCCCATGCTGATCCATAAAGAAAAACCCTTTTATAGGCAATAACCTGAAAATGCTCACCATACCGTAATGCAAAAGGACCTAGTGAAGATTTTCAGGATCATATCGGGGATTAGGATTAGCAAAACAGCGGATTAACGAGCCGACACTATTTATACGAGTATTAGGGTTTGTTACCACGAGCCGCCGAATTTGTCATCGGGAATAGTCGAAGATCATGTTTAAGAAACAGTAATAAATTGCAGATAATATTTATATTTATTTGCTGTTGGGCCTATTTTCGGATAAAATGTTCTTCGGTATGTTGGTGATCTTGGTTGGTAGTCTTGGTGCACCTATTTTATTTTAGCAATTCATGTTTTCTTGATGTTGGCTCTCAATGTGCTGATAGTCTCAAAACTGTTAAAAATCTAGTCCTATGGTATTTGTCAAGTTTTTGATACTGTCAACTCCTCAATACTAACCTCCAAATAGCACCTACATAAAAATCAATATGTTTAATATATATTGATTAATGCATAACTATAAAGACTATGAGTAAGTTCTTCAAGGGCATACATATATATAAATTAATCTTTAATTTTTCCAAACGTTTCGACATAGGATTTTATGTCATCATCAGTGGATATAAATAAGGTTTGAAATCAGTAACTAACGTATGGCACATAATTTTGCACTATCATATATACATTAACTTGTTTTTTTGTTTTTGTTATAAAGACTATATATAAATGTATATATCGATATATAATTGTTAATTCTAATAACTGTTCAAAGAATTTTGTGGAAAAATTTCTTGGTCCAATCTTGCTATTAAATACAAGTCTTCTCATTGTTTCCGTGCAACTAGTGGTGCATGGCATCGTGCCTTAAGGCAAATTGCGGAAACTACTCGTACCGTGATTCGGAATCGAGTTTTCTCGAAATCGTCGAAGAAAAATTGTATTTGCTCATACATACACACACATACATACATACATACACACATACACCCACGCATACATACATTTTTTCTAAGGTATGCCAAAATGTTCAGAAACTTTCGAAACGTAAAGATAAATAAAAATTTTCATTTTCGATTTTTTTGCGATTACTGTAACTTACCCTACGGGAAATTAAAAATTCAAATTTTCCAAAGAAGTCATTTTTTTTCAAAATTATCAATAATCTAATACCTAAATATTTTTAAATAATTTATTAATGGCATTTTAAAAAAATTAATTTTTGTTACGGGAAGTTTTGGCAATTTGCCTTAAAGCACGATGCCATGCACATTGAATGTCGTCAACGTTTTCTTGACCCTTTCCACTCGCGAATTCCGAGATTTACATGAATTTTGCCACCGGTGTGGGCGGCGGCATCCGAGTCGAAAGGGTTAAAAACGGCTGAACCGATTTCACAAATTTAAAAACCATTGGAATAAATTCGATGAGAAGGAGTCGCCAGTGGGTTTGCAAGACGATCGGTTAAGCCGTTTCTTCAAAATTAGCACAAAAGTGCTTTTTAACTTCCCGTAGGTTAAGTTATAGTAATCGCAAAAAAATCAAAAATTTTTATATACGTTTTTAAACCTTCTGAACATTTTGGCATACATTATAAAAAGATGCATGTGTGTGGTTGTGTGTTTGTATGTAACTTTGTGTGTTTATGTATGTATGTACGGATACAAATTTTCGTCGACGATTTCGGTAACACGGATCAACCGATTTCAATTATTCAAAAACCAATCGATTCCTTTTGATAAGGAGACGTGCTGATTAGTTTTTGGTAAAGGCAGGTCTAGTCGTTCCGAAGATACGTGGCAAAAAAGTCAAAAACGGTAACCTAGTTTTTAGGAGAACGGAGCGTCCGATTTTAATAATTCGAAAAACATTTTACTTGTATTGACAAGATGAAGAACTGATTAAATTTTTGGGAAGGCAGGTCTGCCGGTTTTAGAGATCTAGTAGAAAAAGTAGAAAATAATGCCATTTGGCAGTTAAAAATGATCAGTAGACATATGCACATCAAATCATGAGATATTTTATGGAGATTTTAACAATATGTATAAATTTTGTTTACATTCCTATGGGTTCCGTACCAATGTTCATCCGTTAAACGGCGATGCGGCGCTTACGCGCTTTGACATTTTGTCTCTATGCAGTTAAAGCAGTACGATTGCTTTGAAAAAAAGTTTAGATCTTCCAAAATATGTCAAAATAAAGAAAAAAAGTAATTTTTTGTCCAATTTATAGTTTCTCAAAAATCTTATTTTTTCGAAGTAAATTTTTTTTCAAAAATGTTAATCGTTTTTTAAAAAAAATAATAATTTTTGGTACGGGAAGTTCCAGCAATTTGCCTTAAGGCACGGTGCCTTAATTTCCTTAAGACAGAATTCCACTTACAGCTAGTTTTGTATATAATTTCAATTTTAATTTCATATAATTTTTTTTTGTTATAATTTGTAAATAGTTCAGATTTAATTGAATTTAATATTTCTTGAACATTTCGTTACGGTACGGGAAGTTCCAGAAGTTTGGCTTAAGGCACGATGCCATACACCACTAGTCCTTTATCAGTCGTCGACCTTGTGCAGCGGCATGAGTCTATCATTAACACACGTAACAAACAATTCATATTAAAAATGTTAGTTTGATTAATTCGTAGTTTGATTAAATTGAATTAAAAAATGCAATATTTTTTGCAATAAATTTTAGTACATTAAATAAAATTTAAAATTTTTATCGCAAATTTGTGTTACCGTTAGCAACCATATAGCGCGCCGGCACGAGGCACGAGTCGTTCCGTCACCTAGCACATGCACGCCCGATCCATAACCGAACGGCCGCCGAAACGCTCCGACTCGACCCGATCTCACCCATTCCCACCGAGCGGCAGTCTTCGACTGTCATGGCGCCCGAACAGCGTTGTTCTCGGTAAATAAATCCCAAGTCCCTTCTAAAATAAATTTCAATTTCAATTAAAAATGTCGAAATCAATCGTCCGAAGGGCCGGTGTAATGTTAATAGTGTCGTGATACATAAAGTGTGTGTGTCTGAAAGATGGACCATAAAAAGAGTCCCATGCGAAGGACTAAACGTCAGTCTAAAGTGTTAGAAGATAATTATTGGGATTGCAGTGTTTGCACTTACAGAAATAATGCAGAGGCTTTCAAGTGCTTGATGTGTGACGTTAGAAAAGGTTTGGGCTTTGATTAAATCATTAAATTCCATGCTAAATGTTGTAAAATCATAAAATCATGTTGTAATGTTAGGTTAGTATGCGCTTGGTGTACACTTTGTCATGTACGCTTGGAATCACGTACGCGCCAATGGTGTCAAACTCGAGGTCCGGGGACAAAAATTATTTACCAACCAAAGTATTTATTCAAACAACTTCCAACTGGTATACATACAATCTATAATAATCTGTCTTTGCTCTAAAATTATTACCACATACTTTTGCTAGTGACTTTTTGAATTAAATTGCACTTTTGTCAGACCGGTATGTTGTAACAATGAACTCTATACCTGAGGCACACTGTTACAGGGCAAGGGGCACATCCTTGCTCAAGGCTTCTTAAACTTTTGTCTTTTGCGATCCCATTAATGATTGATTTATGATTATTTTTTACCCCATGCAAATATAAATCTAGTGGTGTATGGCATCGTGCCTTAAGGCAAATTGCTGGAACTTCCCGTACCGTAATGAAATCTTCGAGACATTATAAACGTTATTATTACAAATACTGTAACTTTCATTACTTTTGCTATCTTCTTATATCTGAGCAAATCAAATATAAATCATAAATCAATTTATCTCCATTAACAATCGTCATTTCATTTCGAATTCAATTTCAAAAAAAAGTTTCCTAATTTGCACAAAATTGAAAAAGTGCTCCCGTATAGTCACAGTCTAAACGCCTTTGCAAATAATTCTGTGCGACATTTTCACTTATACTGTGCTTAGCTTGGCGGCATTTTCACATTTTTCAATAGTTTTCACATAATTGGATGAAAGTGCTCCGGACATAAACAGTCTAAACACACTTGCATAAACATTTGTACCAGAGCGGCGCTTAGACTGTGCTTAGCCTGGGTAATTTTTTGAATTTTTAATCCAAAATTACAAAAATATTTTATGGAAAATAAAAAAAAGATGTAATAATTTTTTATCCTCAAAAGCAATTGTTTTGTCAATACAGGCAGAAAGTTTTTTGAACCATTCATGTCGGATGCTTAGTTCTCTTATAAACGGCCATTTTCTGCACTTTTAGCTCTGTATCTTCGAAATGGCGGGACCTGTCTTTGCCAAAAACTAATCACCACTTCTCCCCGTCATTACGAACAGAATGTTTTTTAGATCTTTCAAATCTCATGTTCCGTTCTCTCAAAATCTCGATTTCTATTTTCTGCGCTTTTTGCTCCGTATCTCCGAAACGGGCGGACCTGCCTTTGCCAAAAACTAATCACCACTTCTCTCTGTCATTACGAATTGAATATTTTTTGCATCATTCAAATCGGATGCTCCGATCTCTCAAGAACGCGATTTCTATTTTCTGCACTCTTTGCTCCGTATCTCCGAAACGGGTGGACCTGCCTTTGCCAAAAACTAGTCAGCACATCCCCTTATCAATAGGAATTGAATGTTTTTTGAACCATTCAAATCGGTTTATCCATACATATATACACAAACATCCATTTTTCTGAGGTTACTTACTATAACTTACCCTACGGGAAGTTAAAAAACTTTTACAAGATTTATTTATTAAGTAACAATATGTATATACATGTACATATGAAGCTATATAGTTTTAGAATGATATACATATCTATAGAAATATTCGACATTAAAATTTAGATTTAAATTTGAATTTAAGTTTTAAAGTTTAGTTTGGCGCCTCCAGAATTTTCCTTGCCGACCCCATTTGGGGATCGCGACCCATTATTTAACAAGCCCTGTTCTAGACAATACTTGAATATGATATATTCATATGGGGCACATTATTATAACAAATTCTTTTTATCAATTTCATTTCCAGTCTTAATGTCCTTCCTTGAAGGAAAAAGAAATGTTTGTCAATTTTTCTATTTCCCATGTCGTCCGCCTTGCCCTTTATGCTAAATACAGTATAATAACCCCGCTAAAACGATTTCAATGTTTTTCTAAAAAGCATAAAAAAAAGATTCTACGGACGAGCAAACTGAACTAAAACAAAACCTTTACAGCCATTTATAAAAAAGATGTAATTTTTTTAAAATTGCTTCTTTATACTTCTCTCATTTTTTGAAGGGTCAGGTCCTTTTGCCTTAGTTTATTGAACGTGATAACGAATCGTATTTTTTTTTTTTTTTTTTTTTTATAAAACTTTATTACTAATTATTTTTCCTTTTTATCTTACATACTACATATATTTTACTTTTTCTTTACATATTTACTGTTTATTACATTTTTATTTACGAATATTTCTTCCAAGGGCAGGTCCGTGGGTTGAGTTGAAATTGCACTCAATCATGGTTTGCACGATGTCAGAGGCCTACATTTTTCTGTTGTATAGGGATACACTCGACTTCCTTTTGTATTTCAAATCGTACAATCTTAGTACCTCTTTACTTCCAAGTGGCATGTTGCCCGCTACAGCTATTGCCCACGAAAGGCCATTTTCACTTGAAATGATATTTGAAATCTATGATTTCAAGTGAAAATTTGGT